ACGTGGTGAGGTGTCACCTGTCCCACGTGGTGCGGTGTCACGTGTCCACGTGGTGAGGTGTCACGTGTCCCACGTGGTGAGGTGTCACGTGTCCACGTGGTGATGTATCACGTGTCCCACGTGGTGAGGTGTCACGTGTCCACGTGGTGATGTGTCACGTGTCCACGTGGTGAGGTGTCACGTGTCCACGTGGTGATGTGTCACGTGTCCACGTGGTGAGGTGTCACCTGTCCACGTGGTGCTGTGTCACGTGTCCCCGTGGTGAGGTGTCACGTGTCCCACGTGGTGATGTGTCACGTGTCCACGTGGTGAGGTGTCACGTGTCCCACGTGGTGAGGTGTCACGTGTCCACGTGGTGATGTGTCACGTGTCCACGTGGTGATGTATCACGTGTCCACGTGGTGAGGTGTCACGTGTCCACGTGGTGCGGTGTCACGTGTCCCACGTGGTGAGGTGTCACGTGTCCACGTGGTGATGTGTCACGTGTCCCACGTGGTGAGGTGTCACGTGTCCACGTGGTGATGTATCACGTGTCCACGTGGTGAGGTCTCGCGTGTCCACGTGGTGATGTATCACGATAAATAAAGGACGAGTGGATGTTAAGGGGTCACTGTGTGCGGTCTGTGGCTGATGAGTGGCGTGAGTTCACTACCTCGCCTGGTACGCAGGAGGGCGTGGGTTCGATCCCGAACCCTGACGCCTACTGCTGCTGCTGCTGTATATGTGGAGTCTGCGTCTCTCTCTCATCTGCATCATCATCATCAGGGTGTCTAGGAGATGTTGACTACCTCGCCTGGTGTGCAGGAGGGCGTGGGTTCGATCCTCCTACCGGACTTGAGAATCGACGTCACCACGCGCGTGACGGAATTATTTGTCTGCTGCTACAAATTTCCACTCGACGACGATGTTGTTGGTGATGTTGGTGATGTTGGTGATGTTGGTGATGACGGTGATGACGGTGATGTTGTTGGTGATGATGGTGGTGATGTTGGTGATGATGTTGGTGATGATGTTGGTGATGTTGGTGGTGATGTTGGTAGTGATGATCATGGTGATGTTGGTAATGATGTTGGTGATGTTGGTGATGACGATGATGTTGGTGATGTTGGTGATGTTGGTGATGTTGGTGATGTTGGTGGTGATGTTGTTGGTGATGATGTTGGTGATGATGTTGGTGGTGATGTTGGTGGTGATGTTGGTGATGATGTTGGTGTTGGTGATGATGATGTTGGTGATAAGAGATGGAGTGATGGGTGAGTGGGTGAATGACACGGGCTAGAGAAGAGATGGAGTGATGGGTGGGTGAGTGAGTGGGTGAGTGTGTGAGTGACACGGGCTAGAGAAGAGATTGAGTGATGGGTGAGTGGGTGAGTTTGTAGGTGAGTGTGTGAGTGACACGGGCTAGAGAAGAGATGGAGCGATGGGTGGGTGAGTGGGTGAGTGTGTGAGTGACACGGGCTAGAGAAGAGATGGAGTGATGGGTGGGTGGGTGAGTGTGTGAGTGAGTGAGTGTGTGACACGGGCTAGAGAAGAGATGGAGCGATGGGTGGGTGAGTGAGTGGGTGAGTGTGTGAGTGACACGGGCTAGAGAAGAGATGGAGTGATGGGTGAGTGGGTGGGTGAGTGACACGGGCTAGAGAAGAGATGGAGTGATGGGTGGGTGGGTAAGTGTGTGAGTGAGTGACACGGGCTAGAGAAGAGATGGAGTGATGTGGTACAGGAGACACGGGGCTAGAGAAGAGATGGAGTGATGTGGTACAGGAGGACGTGGAGCTGAGTGGACTTGCCGATGACTGGTACCAGCGGTGTCAAAATCGGCCTCTGTGGAGGAGGCTCGTGAAGGACGCTACTGGGCAGTCGGAGGCAGTCGCCCTCCAACAACAACGGAGGGCGGAGGAGCGACGCTCACAACAACGAGCGGAGCGCCGGGTGGCTAAAGCACAGCAGGTTGGCACAGTAAGGGGGGCACAGGTGGTGCATCAGCCAGTCATCTCAGTCATCTCAGTCGACCCGTGGCACCTGCTGGGTCTGCCCCGTGACCTGCGGGGGCCGACATCCACCCCCTCCACTCCCCCCTCCTCCTCGTCGCCCCCCTCCTCCCCCCCCCCCCCCCCACCAGTGCCCTGAGGGACATCCCTCACGGGCTGGCTCACCACCGCCCGGGGTTACCCCGCACGCTCCCGCGCACACCGCCTCAGAAAGCGGACGCGGTGTCGTGAACGCTCTCGCCCCTGCGGGCGCTTGTTACCGACGCACGCGCACAGATGGCACCGCGCCGACACTCCGCACCAAAGTTTATTGACGGCGCGTTCCGAGAAAAACCCCTCGCGTGCGCGCATGGCGCGGAGCAAAATATTCCACGAGCAGGGCCTAGCCCCTCACCACCCAATCCCTTGGGTGTAGCCTCACTCGATTCCTCGCCTCGCGGACACGCTCACGGCGTCGCAGCGACACTGCGGGAGTCGGAGGGACGGCGATCAGAGAGAGAGAGAGGGAGGGAGGGGGGCTCTGCCTCGGGTCGACTCGGAGCGTCTCATTGATGCTAGCGTCTAGCGTCTCACGGACGCTAGACTCACGCTAGCGTCTCACACTAGACGCTAGCGAGTGCACATGCTAGCGTCTCACCGACGCAAGCCGCCAGCGTCTAGCGTCTCATGGATGCTTGCGAGCGGACTCGCTAGCATCTCACAGACGCTAGCCGCTAGCGTCTGTGAGATGCTAGCCGCTAGCGTCCTTGAGACGCTTGCGGCTAGCGTCTCAAGGACACTAGCCGCTAGCGTCTAGCTTAAGACGCTAGCGTCTAGGGTCTCACGGACGCTAGCGTCTAGGGTCTCACGGACGCTAGCGTCTAGGGTCTCACGGACGCTAGCGTCTAGGGTCTCACGGACGCTAGCGTCTAGGGTCTCACGGACGCTAGCGTCTAGGGTCTCACGGACGCTAGCGTCTAGCGTCTCACGGACGCTAGCGTCTAGCGTCTCACGGACGCTGGCGTCTAGCGTCTCACGGACGCTGGCGTCTAGCGTCTCACGGACGCTGGCGTCTAGCGTCTCACGGACGCTGGCGTCTAGCGTCTCACGGACGCTGGCGTCTAGCGTCTCACGGACGCTGGCGTCTAGCGTCTCACGGACGCTGGCGTCTAGCGTCTCACGGACGCTGGCGTCTAGCGTCTCACGGACGCTGGCGTCTAGCGTCTCACGGACGCTGGCGTCTAGCGTCTCACGGACGCTGGCGTCTAGCGTCTCACGGACGCTGGCGTCTAGCGTCTCACGGACGCTGGCGTCTAGCGTCTCACGGACGCTGGCGTCTAGCGTCTCACGGACGCTGGCGTCTAGCGTCTCACGGACGCTGGCGTCTAGCGTCTCACGGACGCTGGCGTCTAGCGTCTCACGGACGCTGGCGTCTAGCGTCTCACGGACGCTGGCGTCTAGCGTCTCACGGACGCTGGCGAGTGAGGCCGCGAGTCGCTCCTGACGTCTGGACGGTCGGAGGGGAAGTCCACCCGGAGGGGAAGTCCACCCGGAGGGGAAGTCCACCCGGAGGGGAAGTCCACCCGGAGGGGAAGTCCACCCGGAGGGGAAGTCCACCCGGAGGGGAAGTCCACCCCGAGCCGTTTGTAATGTTAGTTGGTCTGTTGGGGGGGGGAGGGGGGATCGGCCAATCTCCTGGAACCGGGAAACCGTGGGGCGACCCGCTAGGGGCCCTTCGGATGAAAACCCGTGGTGCCAGGCGATCCCCCCCGCTGGGACCCTACGTGTGTGTGTACACGCTGTGTGTGTGTACACTGTGTGTGTGTACACTGTGTGTGTGTACACGCTGTGTGTGTGTACACGCTGTGTGTGTGTGTACACTGTGTGTGTGTGTGTACACTGTGTGTGTGTGCACACTGTGTGCACACTGTGTGTACACTGTGTGTGTGTACACTGTGTGTGTGTACACTGTGTGTGTGTACACTGTGTGTGTGTACACACACAGTGTACACACACACAGTGTGTGTACACTGTGTGTGTGTACACTGTGTGTGTGTGTACACTGTGTGTACACTGTGTGTGTGTACACAGTGTGTGTGTGTACACGCTGTGTGTGTGTGTGTACACTGTGTGTGTGTACACTGTGTGTGTGTACACTGTGTGTGTACACGCTGTGTGTGTACACACACTGTGTGTATACACTATGTGTGTGCACACACACACATAGTGTACACACACATAGTGTGTACACTATGTGTGTGTACACGCTGTGTGTGTGTACACTGTGTGTGTGTACACTGTGTGTGTACACTGTGTGTGTGTACACTGTGTGTGTGTACACTGTGTGTGTGTACACTGTGTGTGCGTGTACACTGTGTGTGTGTACACTGTGTGTGTGTACACTGTGTGTGCGTGTACACTGTGTGTGTGTACACTGTGTGTGTGTGTGTACACGCTGTGTGTGTACACGCTGTGTGTGTACACTGTGTGTGTACACAGTGTGTGTACACAGTGTGTGTACACTGTGTGTGTACACTGTGTGTGTACACTGTGTGTGTACACAGTGTGTGTACACACGCTGTGTGTGTACACTGTGTGTGTGTACACTGTGTGTGTGTACACTGTGTGTGTGTACAATGTGTGTGTGTACACTGTGTGTGTGTGTGTACACTGTGTGTGTGTGTGTACACTGTGTGTGTGTACACTGTGTGTGTACACTGTGTGTGTGTGTACACTGTGTGTACACTGTGTGTGTACACACTGTGTGTGTGTACACACTGTGTGTGTGTGTACACTGTGTGTGTGTACACGCTGTGTGTGTGTACACTGTGTGTGTGTACGCTGTGTGTGTACACACTGTGTGTGTGTGTGTACACGCTGTGTGTGTGTGTACACGCTGTGTGTGTGTACACTGTGTGTGTGTGTGTACACGCTGTGTGTGTGTACACGCTGTGTGTGTGTACACTGTGTGTGTGTGTACACTGTGTGTGTACACTGTGTGTGTGTACACTGTGTGTGTGTACACTGTGTGTGTACACTGTGTGTACACTGTGTGTGTGTGTGTACACACAGTGTACACACACACACACACAGTGTGTACACTGTGTGTGTGTGTACACTGCGTACACTGTGTGTACACTGTGTGTGTGTGTACACTGTGTGTGTGTACACTGTGTACACTGTGTGTACACTGTGTGTGTGTACACGCTGTGTGTCTGTACACGCTGTGTGTGTGTACACACTGTGTGTGTACACTGTGTGTGTACAATGTGTGTGTGTGTACACTGTATGTGTACACACACACACAGTGTACACACACACAGTGTGTACACACACACACAGTGTGTGTGTACACACTGTGTGTGTGTGTACACTGTGTGTGTGTACACTGTGTGTGTACACTGTGTGTGTGTGTGTACACTGTGTGTGTGTACACTGTGTGTGTACACTGTGTGTGTGTACACTGTGTGTGTGTACACTGTGTGTGTGTACACTGTGTGTGTGTACACTGTGTGTGTACACTGTGTGTGTACACGCTGTGTGTGTGTGTGTGTACACACACACACACTGTGTACACTGTGTGTACACTGTGTGTGTGTGTACACGCTGTGTGTGTGCTCGAGGCGTTCTTCATCCCATGGTCACCGTCACCTCCCTTCCACTCCGCCTGCAAGCCGACAACAACAACAACGACGAGGAAGTGGGAGGGGGTGGGCGGGTGGGGGGGAGGGAGGGGGTGGGAGGGGGTGGGTGGGAGGGGTGGGAGTGAGTGAGGGGTGGGAGGGAGGGGGTGGGGGGTTTGTTGGGTGGGAGGGGTGAGAGGGGTGAGAGGGGTGGGAGGGAGGGGGTGGGTGGGAGGGGGTGGGGGAGGGCGTCACCTGGGGTTGCGTCACGGTGCCCACGTGACTTGCTAGTCGGAGTTTGCTTCTTGCCGAATGGCCCCGCACAGCATGGCGCTGATCACGAGGCCGGCGACCTGCGGTGGGGGAGGGGCACAACAGCAGCCAGGGGGCGCAGTGGGAAGTACAGGGGGGACGATGACGATGACGATGATGACGACGACGATGATGACGATGACGACGATGATGATGATGATGACGATGACGACGATGACGATGATGACGTAACGCACCATCATGATGCCGAAGCCGATGCCGACAGCGGCGATGATGTAGACCCTCTGGGAGAAGATGTCGTCGATGCGGCTGTTACAGTTCTGCAAGCACAGGGGGAGTCAAACACACGGAGACTCACACACAGACTCACACACAGACTCACACACACACTCACACACACACTCACACACACGGAGACTCACACACACACTCACTCACACACTCACACACACACTCACTCACACACTCACACACACACTCACACACACACTCACACACTCACTCACACACTCACACACAGACTCACACACACACTCACACACACACTCACACACACGGAGACTCACACACACACTCACTCACACACTCACACACACACTCACTCACACACTCACACACACACTCACACACACACTCACACACTCACTCACACACTCACACACAGACTCACACACACACTCACACACACACTCACACACACGGAGACTCACACACACACTCACACACACGGAGACTCACACACACACTCACTCACACACTCACACACACACTCACTCACACACTCACACACACACTCACACACTCACACACAGACTCACACACACACTCACACACACACACGGAGACTCACACACACACTCACACACACACACTCACACACACTCACACACTCACTCACACACTCACACACAGACTCACACACTCACTCACACACACACTCACACACACACTCACACACTCACTCACACACAGACTCACACACACACTCACACACACACACGGAGACTCACACACACACTCACACACACACACTCACACACACTCACACACTCACTCACACACTCACACACAGACTCACACACTCACTCACACACTCACTCACACACACACACTCACACACACACTCACACACACACACTCACACACACACTCACTCACACTCACTCACACACTCACTCACACACAGACTTACACACACACTCACACACAGACTCACACACACTCACACACACACTCACACACACACTCACTCACACACACACTCACTCACACACTCACACACACACACGGAGACTCACACACACACTCACACACACACTCACTCACACACTCACACACAGACTCACACACAGAGACTCACACACAGACTCACACACACTCACATACTCACTCACACTCTCACACAACAACAACAACAACCGCCATTCGCCACTAAGTGGCGGTGACGTCACCACCACGCTTGTGCCAGGCTATGTGCACCGTGAGGCCACGTGAAGTGTCGAATGCACGCTGGCAGGAGGTCACGGGGCAGACCCAGGTGCCAAGGGTCGACTGACTGAGATGACTGAGATGACTGGCTGATGCACCACCTGTGCCCCCTACTGTGCCAACCTGCTGTGCTTTAGCCACCCGGCGCTCCGCTCGTTGTTGTGAGCGTCACTCCTCCGCCCTCCATTGTTGTTGGAGGGCGACTACCTCCAACTGCCCAGTTGCATCCTTCACGAGCCTCCTCCACAGAGGTCGATCTTGACACCGTTGGTACCAGTCATCGGCAAGTCCACTCAGCTCCACGTCCTCCTGTACCACATCACTCCATCTCTTCTCTAGCCCGTGCCGCGCCCGCTTAGCCCCCTCAATCCGGCCGAACAAAAGCTGTTTCGGCATGCGGTGGCTGGGCATGCGGGCTACATGACCCAGCCATCGCAGCCTTGCCCGCCGGAGCTCACCGATGGGACCTTGCCCAGATCTTTCAAGGATTTGTGAGCTCCTCACACAATCCAGTCTGGTTAAACCCAGGATGGATCGTAGGCAGGCCAGCCTAAATGTTTCTAACCGGCGACGTGTTCCATTAGGGGGGTCCACGTTTCGCAAGCGTAGAGAAGGGAGGGAATGACCGTGGCCGAGAAGACCTGAAGCTTAGTGCGGAGCGACAGACCAGGTAGCTTCCACACAGCGTTACGCAACCGATGAAAAGATATTGCCGCTCGACTGATTCGGAGTGAGACCTCTGCTGTTAAACTGGAGCCAGTCATAAGCACACTACCCAGGTATGGGAAACTCTCCACTCTCTCCACAACAGCCCCATCACCGATTGGGAGTTGTGGGGGTGGAGTGTCCGATGGTACAAAATACCCAGGCAGGTGCTTAGTTTTGGTGGGGCTGATGGTAAGGCCCCACCTCTTAGTGGCACGCTCCAGTCTCAGCAGCAGCGTCTCCAACTCCTCCTCTGACTGAGCAGCTATTACCAAATCATCAGCATACATAACGTGGTTGAGCAATAGGGAGCCATCCCTTGACCGCACCCGGGCATCGATCAGCCTCCCATTATATCTGTACCATGTGGAGATTCCCCCGGTACAGCTATTGAAGGCTTCACGAACTACGTGGTCAAAATAGATGTTAAATAATGTGGGAGCCAGAGGACATCCCTGTCGCACCCCAAGGTGTACAGGGAATGGCTCTGACTCCCGGCCACGTAGTTTTACCCGGGCCCGCTCACCATCATGAAGGTCCTTAATGATCGTGAGCAGAGGGTCAGGTACTCCAAAAGCACGAAGAACGACCCAGAGCCCAGGCCTACTGATGGTATCATAGGCCTTGACCAGGTCAATAAAGCAGAGATGTAGGTCTTGTTGGAATTCCCTACACCTCTGCTGTAGCAGACGGACAGAAAATATGGCATCTGTGCAGGACCGCCCTATCCTGAAACCGCATTGGGGCTCCGCAAGCCTCTCCTCAGCGTGCCTGGCAAGGCGATGCTGAATAATACTTGCCAGGACCTTTCCCGGCACACTGAGGAGTGAGATGCCCCTGTAGTTGTTACAGTCTGTGCGGTCCCCCTTCTTAAAAAGGGGGACCACCAGGGCATCCTTCCAATCCTGCGGAACCCGTCCAGCAGCCCAGACCGTTGTTTATGATGTCATATAGGGCAGTGTGTGCACAAACGCCACCCTCCCTCAGCATTTCGCTTGGGAGATCATCTCTGCCCGCTGCCTTTCCTGGTCTCAGACTCCGGATCGCCTTCAGTACTTCCTCAACAGATGGCACCTCAGCCAGCCACTCACAGGGGGTGACTTCTTCCAATATTTGAGGCACCGCAGCCTCAGCAGGGTCATCCTCACTTTGTGCCACAATGTTTTCCTGGCTGAGGGATTTTCCCTCCCCCAGGACCTCACAGAAATGCTCAGCAAATCTGCAAACCTGTTCCTGGCGGTCGGAGATTGGATCACCGTTTTTTCCCCTAATGATGGTAATAGGCGTGGCGCTGCAGGTTACTTTTTTGATGGAGTTAAATAGAGATTTGTGATCACGGGCCACTGAGGCAGACTCCATCTCCTCAGCAACCCGCAAACCACCACCCATCCTTGCAGCGCCTCACGGCTCTCCGAACCTCCGAGCGAAGGCTGCGGTAAGCCTCCTCATTCTCTGACGTGGGGATTCTGTAGCCGATGACAGTGGGCCTGTCGCTTTTTCTCAACCATCCCTGAACACCTCCTCTGTCAGCCAGGGTCTCTGGGGAGGTCTGGACCGCGTACCCAAAGCAGCATTGCAGCTGCATGAGTCACCAGTCCTAAACCTCGCCCATGTTACCCTCGACATCAGGAGGAGGCGGGGACGATGCCAATCCCAGCCGCAAGCAATGATGAAATTCCTCGGCTTGCAACTTTCATCAGATAACTGAGACCAGAGCCACTTTAGGTCGGAATGGGTCCTGGGTGTACACCCACCACCGGAGTAGAAGAATAGCAGGCGCATCTTACAGATGACTAGTCGATGGTCAGAGGGCAGATCAGCTCCACGGTAGGTCCTGGTGTCAAGGACATGGGCTCGCATCCGCTTGTCCGTCCCTATGTAGTCCAGCAGATGTTCTTGCTTGGACCCGGCATGCATCCATGATTTTGTGTGGATGCGCCGATG